ACCTGCTAAATAACGAGATAATTCCGACGTCAAATTCTATTTTGTCCAGCAACAGTGTACAAACGTGCGCCGGTGTCGGTGACGATCCCGGTGACCAGCTACACCAGAACGGACATATTTCGCATCTAACTCAACCCCATGCAACAAAAATTGATACTATGTGTTCATTATGGTCCATTTTTCCTCGACGAACAAGTACATAAGTGACAATATAGTCAAAGACGAGAAAACTGCACAAGAAATTTGCCTTATTTACACGTATCGGCAATGCAAGCTGCCATGCGACTTCCCCTTCTGACGTCACAAGGGGAATTTCTGTATGCAAATGAGAAGCTAATGAGGAGCCTCGTTTTAAAATACACAAACATAAAGTTGCGGTAGACTGAGTTTAAAACACATTTTTTCACTTAAAAAATAATAATTCATGCTTAGAAACATAAAAATTAATAATATTTATGTATCAATTGATAATTTTAGGCATGAAAATAGAAGCCATTTCACAGGCACTTTAACTTTTTACAATAGACATTGATATTGCAACAATAATTTATTTGTTTCTGTTTTTAGTCTGCAGCATTCGCATTTCGAATATATTTCATTTTTAAATTCAAACTCTTCTAAATTGTGAAACATAATATCCAAAAATATTTGCACTGCGGCCAAACTATTCATTGATAATTAATATTCATATAGCTCATTAATATTCATGACCGACCGGCTGGTGAGATCCCTGTCTACCAATTACATTTTAATTACCCAGCATTGAATGATACATGTTACAAATACGACTGGTCTTATACTAAAAAAAATACCTCAGTGTATCTTCATCTGATTGTACATACCTTCTTTTTTTTCTTCTTCTTTTTGTGTTTTTTACCAGTCTTTGGCATAATGGATTTCTTCCCTTCTATTGTTGATTTTACAGGCATTGTAACACTCTCATCTTTTCCTGTACCTTTCGTAGAATCTAGGTTTTGTAGAATACCCTTTAAATGTAGAATAAACATATGAAACATTGCTCGCCCTCTGTGTTCAAGTATAATTTCAGCTTACAATATATGTTACTTAGATCTATAAGAAAATACTGGAGTTATAAATAAAACCAACTGGACTTTTTCAGAATATTTAATGCAGTGTTTCACTATCATGATGTACCGGTAACTACCTTTTTCCCACTGAAATATTCATGCTTCTTGGTTTTCTTCAATTTTCTTGCATTTTTTCGTCTCTGTTTTCTCGATATCTGTGGTCTAGACTTCACAGAACTTTCTATAGATGTCTCTATACCCTGTTTTTTATTCCATTCTTCAACTTCTAATTTTATTTTTCTGAAGTGAGATGGTTCTCTCTTTTTAAAATTCTTTTGTTTCATTTCTTTAAATAAATAAATAAACATGACATTAATATTCAACAATTGCAGCGACTAAGGTCAGAGTATATGAGATTTGATTTAGTTTTAAGACTGCCCACCATGAATCAATAGTGCTGATCATAGAATAATTACCGTACAACGTTGTTCAGTATATGAACAATTACATGTGTAGATCATGGAACTATAGGGGTTTATAGTTCCATGTGTAGATGTTTAAAAAAACAATTAATCCCAACTGTTACCAGTGTTCTCCCCAAAGCGTTTTAGCGTAGCGGGGCCGCTACTCCATTATTTATGCCGCTACTCTGAGAGATTGCCCGCTACTCTGTGGCATTTCCTGTTACTCTTTCTTTTAGCTTGTTAATACACGTGCGAATCTGTTAGTCAGCGTCATCAGCGTCCGGTACTGTGAGCCAAATCAGGTGTGAATGGAAACATGTCAGTGATTACGCAAAGACAATGGACTAATACAGCTTCGTACTTCGACAATAAACACTTTCGCCCTATTTAATTGGGGTTAATAGCGAGTATTTTCTCAGCAGCATATTTGGCTGGAAGAAGCAACGATGTCAAACAGCAGAAATATCACGTTGTGGTTCCGCGTAGAACGCCCTGCTGGGCCCCTGGTTGCGAGCGATAAACCCACCAGCAACGCGGTCACCGGTACCCCTGTCGGCAGTGGTACTAAACGTGTCCAAGATGATGTTACAACGAAAAGTGCAAAAAAATAAACTCTAGATTTGATGCACAATGGACAACAAAATATACGTGGCTGAGAGAAACATCCGATGGCAAAGGTAAAAAAAGTATTTATTTGTAGCGTTTTACTTGGAAGCGAGTTTTGACCTAGTTTAGTAAATTTTTGTATGGCTTCATTTTTTGCCGATCGTCGAAACATTTTTTTGGAAACGACCTTCTTTCTGGAAGTTCAAAAATTGTTGGCTACGATTTATCAAAGTAACTAATACTAGTATTGTGTTTTGAAATAGTTGGGTAAAGTTTATCGTGGCAATTTTTAAGTTTAGCGACTTTTCAAAATGGCGGCAATTTGTTTATTTTCGTGTTGATCGTGACGATATTTTTTAAATACAAGTATTGATTCGCTCCTATTTCTTTTCTTTTAGGAATGCTGTGACACATATGTGGAAAATTCAACTTAAAAACATCCAGAAATAGTTCTTTGGTATGGAATTCTATGCCATGTATAACTATTACGAAATATGCTATCGATAAACACGCACACTCGGAGATGCACAAGAAGGCCATGTCATTTAATAGAAGTGGGAAGCAAAGAAAATCACGGCGTTCTCAAAAGCTGCAGATCACTGGGCTTCCATGAAAGTCCGAAGAATCAACATTACATAGAAATCACACAGCAGCAGATTCATTTAATCTTCTACATAAATTTGTTAAAAAATAAAGACACATTTTCATCCATGCAAGCCTGTCATTATTGTTTTCTTTATCTTCAGACAAATGCTAATGATATGTAAATTATATGCAAATTAGCCGCCACTCTGATACATTTTTCTGGGGAGAACACTGGTTACTTCAAGTTCAGTGTCGCAGCTTGAATGGCTCTGCTACAGCCCACGACCGAATGTGTCCGAGAACAATGGGTCACAACACTGATGGGCCATGGGACCAATGGCATTTATGATTAAATGTATCGTACTAAATGTACATCTACTGTAGAACCAATAGGCCTGAGACCATTTACACATGGCACTAGCCCTGAGTACAGTCCTGCATGTTGGCCTCCTTCCACTGATCATTCGGCCCCCACAGTCCTGAGAAGTCGCATAGACCATGGAACTATAAACCCGGGGCATTTGAAACCGAAATTGGCATCTAAGCGTTAGGCCGTCGCTGATTGGCTGCTGTGCTGGAATTCCAATTTTTAGTTTCAAATACCCCGGCTTAGTGTTCTATGTTCTTCGCGTAATTAGGTGTTCGTATGCAAGGGATTTTTCCACACAAAAACGACGAATTCGGCCGAATTTTGTTATCGGTTGGCTTAATATAACCCCAACGGACGTATTTTTGTGAAAGATTGGTATTTTTGTCCTGATTTGTAGGAATCTGAAAAACGCGTTTCACAACTAGTCTCTTATTTAGTTTTATGCGTCATTCAAGATGGCGGCCCCCATATAGTAAATATCGTATTTATTTTATTATCACGTGTGCGCCAGCTGACTGTGATACAGTACTGGAACGTTGGCGAAAGCTAGTTTTACGAAAGTCAAACGAAACAACGTTTTCTTAATAAATACATTCTTGGTTGACGTTGGAAAATGTCGATTTGATCGACCCTAGTGGGAAATCTTATGTAATTTTGCTTCCAACTGTGAAAGTATTTAGAATAGTTAGACGTATCGACCTGCTTATATTTTAACTGCAAAGCTGAATGCCTCTAAAATCGCCCGATACATTTCTTCACAATAGTGTCGAATTTCCGGTCAATGCGACTTCTCAGGACTGTGGGGCCGAATGATCAACGGAAGGAGGCCAACCTACAGGACTGTATTCAGGGCTAACATGGCACATACTGCGACAGGGGTAAATTCCTTCCTCAAAAACACTTTTGGTTATGTGGATTTATGTAATGGTCGGATTCTGCAACAGTTGTCTTACCTGAAAAATCTAAATAATGTTTGTATGACCACTGGAACTCAGACGAAACTTTCCTGGGGCTACAGTATATCAGAGAATAACAAGAATTGCAGCTAGCGTGACTTTGTCAATGGGCGCAGCCATCTTTAATCGCAATGAATTATGGTATATGTGAATATTCCCTATTTTCACCCAATTTTGTTCATGGCACTAATATATACTATTTCATAAAAAAAAGCACGACATTATAGGTTCTGTGGTCTAGGTATGTCAAAAATATAAATATTCATGTATGTGGATAAAATTTCGTCCTCGTAATCTTTACCGGAAGTTATTATGAAGAAGAGGCTGGCGCTATAAATAGATTGCTGACAAGGGTATTTCCTCGCAAACGCAGCACAAAGCTACACTGTCATGTCATTTTTGTCACTGTCCGGAGATTATCTCAAGGAATACTTTGTGACGGAACACGTCTAATATTTGCATATTAACTTGAAATTATGGGAAAATCTAAAAGAGATAGAGCTGAAGAAAGGGGTAGGTATATAGATCACATAGAAGAGAAAATCTCGTATTCTCAGTCACGAACTGGAAAGTTTTAAACTGCCATTTTGCAGTAGTTTAATCTTTCATTATTTGTATTCTTAGTTTATTGACATCCGAGTGATTTGATTGAGTGACATACTGTGAATTAGATAACCGAGAGATATTGACACAAATACCTAAAATGTGTCATTCTTCATTCTTTTTGCAAATCCGATACTGTTGGAGATGCAATCAATATTTATTTTTACTTTTCTTTCTTCACACAAAGATATATTTTTATTGAAACACAAAATTCCATGGCGGAATTAAACATGCTTACATAACAAATAGAAAAAACAATCAATAACAACAGCAAAAAAATACACAAAATTCACGACAAAAAGCAGAGAAAAAATTTTTGATTTTTAAATATGAACGTTTATTCTATTAAAACTTACATTACATTATATATTGTGCAGAGTGCGTACATGTATACATTTTCTTGAGGATGCGAGTTTTAATAAGCATCAGAATAGTATTGATAGTACAGTTGTCATGTATCGCAATAGTACGACATATATTAAAAAGAGCGAAATGTGCATATATATATATATATATATATACGAGTAGTAAAAATAATTACTTAGTTTGCAATTAGTTCTGTTAAAATAATAGTGTTGTCATTGATGG